AGGCATTATGGTAACCATTGTTGATCACCTTGTATTATGTTTTTACATTATCTATTATGTCCACCCTTTTGATTTGATCGACTCTGTTCTGTTATGTCACATTTGGTTTTACTCTCTTCCAAAAAAGTAATAAGAATCGTGGGAGCAATAAAACCCAAAATGTGTAATAATCATTGTACAAAAGACAGGAAAAGAAAGTGCTCTAAATGATATAACTGCATGTATATTTAAGTGTATAAGAGAGAAAATGATATCACTGAGTTTTATTGGATCACTGAAGAGAACTGTTTGCAGTATCATTGTTGGAATGTCCACTTTACAAGCTTTAATTTTGTGACTTGAACAATTATTTCTAAGATGACAATATGTAATCCATTAACTAGTGATTTCCTACTTTTTATTTTTTCTGTAAATCTGTATAACTTGTACCCTTTCTCTGTTTTTTTTCTCCTTAAATAAAATTTAAAAAAAGAAACTATACTACAAAGCCACAGTGATAAAATCAGCATGATACTGGCAAAGAAATAGACCCGAGGATCAGTGAAACAGATTACAAGATGCAACCACAAGTACAAAGACACTCAGCCATCTTATATTTGACCAAGGGGATAAACATATTCACTGGAAGGATAGCCTCTTTAATAAATGGTGTTGGAAAATTGGCTTTCCACTTGCCAAAGACTGAAATTAGATCCATGTCTATCACCATGCACTAAAATAAAGTCAAAATGGATCAAAGATCTAAATAGTAAAACAGAAACACTAAATGTATTGTGAAGACAAGTTAGGTAGAAATCTTGGAGACATAGGAGTAGGCAGAGAATTCATAAATAAAACACAAACTGCACAGGAAATACTTCAAAGAATCAACAACTGGGATCTCATATTAGTAAAAGGTTTTTGCACTTCAAAAGAAATCACCAACAAAGTGCACAGAAAATTCACAGAATGGGAAAGAATTTTAACCAGCAATCCCTCAGACAAAGGACTTATATCCAGAACATATAAAAAACTGAAAAACATTAAGCTCCACAAATTCAAAGAGCCTCTCTAAAAATGGGCATCTGACATTTCTTAGATGAAGATTTACAAATGGCAAATAAATACATGAAGAAATGTTCACCATCACTGGTCATTCAAGAAATGAAAATTAGAAAAGCATAAAAATCTCATGTCACTCCAGAAAGAATGGCTACCATCAAGAAATCAACTGATAACAAATGTTGGCGAGGCTGTCGGGAAAAAGCAACACATCTCCACTGTTGGTGGGAGTGTAGACTGGTGCAGCCACTTTGAAAATCAGTGTGGAGATTCCTCAAAAAACTAGGATTGGAAGTTCCATTTAATCCAGCTATTCCCTTCCTGGGTATTTTTCCCAGAAAACTGAAAATGTCACATCACAGTGATATATATGCACCCATGTTTATAGTAGCACAATTTGTAAAAAGCTAAATCTTGGAAGCAACCAAGATGCCTATCAACTGCAGAGTGGATTAAAAAGTTGTGGTCCTTTTATACAATGGAATATTACTCAGCTATAAAAAGGATGATCTTGAGGCTTTTCTAGGTAAATGAAACAACTGGAGACTATCCTCATAAGTGAAATAAATCAGATTCGTATTTGTAAGTATCACATTGTCTTTCTCATGTAAAAAATAATAAAAATTGAAGGAGTAATAAGATCCAAATTTATAATAGATATTATAATAATGAAAGGGAAGTAAAGTGCTCTAATGGTTATAACTGTAAGTATGTATATTTAAGTGTGTAAGATAGATAACCATACTACTAAGTTTTTGTTGAATTATTGAACAGAATGGTTTGCAATGTAATTGTTTGATTGTCCACTTTCTATGGTTTGATTTTGTAACTTAAACAACTATTTCTAAGATAATAATATGTAATTTATTAACTAGTGATTTCTTAGTGTTGTTATTTTTTCTTGAAATTTTGTATTATTTCTACCCTTTTTTCTGTTTTGATTTTTTTCTCTAACTAAAAAAAATAAAGAAGGGAAAATCAAGCAAATTTATAGCAGAGAATCCTAGGAAAAATCACCTTAATGAAGTGATCTAAGATAATTTTACAATAATGAGACACATTAACATCACATACTTCCTGATAATAAAGAATGCAGCATGATTTCTGTGACATGTAACTTGAATCAAATCATGAGGAAATTCACACAAAATCAAGTTGAGGGGCACTTATAAAGTAATTAGCTTGGCTCTGGGTAGTAAAATATAAAGAGAGGTTGAGAATGTAGCTCAATAGACCACATGCTTAGTATGTGTGAGGCCCTGGGTTTGATCCCCAGAGCCAAACCAAACAAAGTCTGGCCTGTGTGCTGCAGAAATGTCAAGGTAATGAAAGACAAGAATAGACTAAAGTATTGCTACTGGTTTAGCAATCCTAAAGAGATATAACTAAATGTAACATGCTATCCTAGACTGACTCCTGCATCACAGGATTTTTTTTATTTTTGACAAAAATGACAGTTAGAAAAATTTAAATGGGACCTGTAAATCAGGTAGTAGTGATGTCAGTGTTCATTTCCTGATTTTGAATATTGTACCATAGTTATGGAAACAACTTTAATGCAATTCATAGTGAAGTATTTAGAAATAGTTTTGCATTGAGTCTGTAATGTATTCCAAAGTAGTTCAGAAAATGTGTGTGTATGTGTGCATGTATGTAAACAGTGAGAGAGAAAGATAAACTAAATGTTAGTAAGTGGAGAACTCAGATAAAGTGTACATGGACATTTTTTGTAACATTCTTGCAATTTTTCTCCCTCTGAAATGATTTTAAAATAAAAAAATCTTCAATGTTTAAAAATTTTAGATCAAGTATCCAAGTATATTGATAATACCCAGCGTTAGTAAAGTTTGAAGAAAACAGTATATAAGGTATTATAATGACATGTATCTATCATATATGGTTGGAGGAAATGTAGACTGATGGGAAAAGTTTGGGAGGGAAATTTTAAAATGTATATCCCTTAGCATAGTAGTTACACTTTTGGAAATCTATCCTACAAGGTTGTACAAGTTACAGGATATATGTTCAAATATTCCCATTAAAACATTATTTGGAATAGTAAAGTAATAGAGAATTCCACCAATAGAACAATTATTAAATATTATATAGCAACTGGAAAGAATGAACAAGATTCATCCATATGAAAAGACAAGGAGGAAGTTTTGTTAAGTTGCTCAGTGACATGAGACCTTTTAAATTAGTACATGTTTGTACTACATAATGATTACATTTATTATGGGGAGCTGGTACATGTACATAGCACATCTTAATTCTTTTTTGTCCCCTTTCCCTACCATCACTCCCTGTTCCCTTCAGTTCTTGTTCCCCTTCTCACTTGTAAAAGCTCTACTTTCATTTTTTAATTCAATTCTATCTTTTCAAAATCTCTTTTTCTTTTCTTCCCCTTCCACTCCCTTCATCTCTTGTTTCCCTCCTCATTTGAAAAAGATCTCCCTACTCATATATCTTTTATTTTGTTCTTTATTTATATTTTGCTTTGCATATAAGAGAAACCAAGTTTGTGTCATTTATTTCACTTATAGCTATGAGATGCATCAATTTACTTACAAATGCCTCAAATTTATCCTTCTTTATGGCAGATTGGTAGTCTAATATATATATGAATACCACATTTTGTTTATCTGCTTGTCTGCTGATAGGCACATAGGCTTTTTCTAAGAGTTAGCTATCATAAACTGTTTTGCTATATACATGAATATGCATGTAACACTCTAATATTATGATGTCTTTAACATTTTTGGGAAGATATCTAGAAGGGGAATAGCTGGGTCAAATGGAATTTCTAGTTTTAGTTTTTTGAGCAATCTCCGTATTGATTTCTAGATTAATTATACTCGTTTATATTCCCACCAACAATTTTCCTCTCCAGCATTTGTTGTTACTTGATTCTTAATGACAGTCATTGTTTCTAGGGTAAAAGGATATCTTAATGTTGTTTTAATTCCATTTTGATCAATGATCAATGATGTTGCATGTTGTTAAATTAAAAGCAATCAGGCTATACAGAAATGGGTATTAGTAGGATCTAACTTAAAAAAAAAAAACGGCAACTATACCACTTTGGTGATTTAAGATGCATTAAAAAGAAAAAGTTTACCCAGGGGATAAATATATTGTAAGTTCAAAGTTCCATATTTATTTATTTATTTATTTATTCAACTGTATTAATTATATCATTGAAATTATTGTCTATGATCTTATTTTTGTTTTACCTGTCACAGCCTGACAATGTTTTTTGTTAAATTATTATTTTATGATTGTTTCTGTTTTGCTTTGTATTTCTAACATATTTTATTCTGTATTAACTGAAACTATACTCCAGACCATACTTTTTTTTTTTTTACTGGTACCAGGGATCGAACTCACAACCACGCGCTTGCAAGGCAGCCCCTCAGACCAGACTTTTTAATTACAGATTGTCTTTTAAAAGTCTATCATGACACTCTTTGTTCCTTTACTTCATGTAATACTTTTTGCTTTGAATTCAACGTCATCACACATTCACATAGTCGTCCTCATTCTTTTTGGTTTGTCAAACTTCACCTATGGTATCCTTTTGGTTTTAGTCTTTCTGCATCATTTTGTTATATGGGTTAAATATACTGAATTTCTTTTATTCTTTCAAAAATCAGTCTTTATCTTTTAGGAAAATGGTTAAATTATGCATGGTTATCATAATAGGTATGTTTAATCTTATTCCTTTTCTTTGACTTTGTACATTCTTGCTGTTTCCAGGGAAGGTACAAACTGGTAAGATAGAAAGACAGGAGTAAGCCTAAAGGTGACAATGATGATGATATTGGGGACAGAGGAGAGCAAAGGGGTTGGAAGAGTCAGTGATGGTTCCTTGATATCAAGCTTTTTCAATAGCTCTAGGGAAGCACAAAGAACTCTGTTTTGTTTTTACAATGGTAGAGATAATGATAAAGGAAACTTACCTTTGCCATTCCAACTGAACTGGCGTTTAATTCTGATATCCCTTGGTTGGTCTTGTCTCCACGTTCCCATATCCCGAAGTCCTGAGATAAAATAACCAACATAGCATTAGCAATTCACAGCTACCAAACACTCACCTGATGCACTATCCTTGAATAACAAACACTAGTATTAGCTAATTTGCCAAAACTGTGTATGCAAACAATACATATTAAGGTGCAGCCAATGAGTTTGGCTATTTGGGCCTCCAAAAAGTTGGAAGACGTCTCCACATTTAGCTAGGAGGGCTAAGAACTATAATTTAGTTCATCTAGAAATATGATTCTCAAAATTTTTAGTACAGGACAAAACTAGGAAATAGAAACCAAACATCAGCACCATATTTTAATTTTTATTCTATTTTTATTATCTGTTGGTACTGACAATATAACAAGGACTAACCTATGCATTTTACATATCTTCTTTAATTCTCACATTTTATAGATAACAAAATTGAAGTATAAAGATGGGTCAAGTGACACACACAAAGTCATATAGCTAACAAGTGACAGAACCAGGATTTAAGTCCAAGTAATTCCACTCCAAAAGCCTATTCTTAGTCACAGCTCTATACAGCACCTCTATGCTATACAGATAGTTCTTAAAACTACCTTCAAAACTTTTTTACTTAGAAATAACTTTAGATTTCTAAAGAAGTTGAAAACAATAACAGTGAGTTCCCATATACCTTTCACTCAGCTTTCTCAAATGTTAGCATCTAACATCACCATAGTATGATTGTCAAAGCTGAGAAATTAATACTAATACAATACTACCGAACTATAGACTTTGTTTAGGTTTTATTAGCTTTTTACTAACAACTTTTCTAGGATCCTTATTACATTTGTTATGTCTCCTTAGTTTTTTCTAACTGATTAGAAATCAGTGATGGTTCTTCACATCTTGTCTTTCATAACTTTGACACCTTTGAATATTAATAACTATGAAACTTGTAGATTTATCATAATTTGGGTTTACTTTAAACTCATGATAAGACTGAGGCTATAGATTTTGTGCAAGAATCCATATTACAGATATAGGCTGTGTACCTTTCAAAGCATCATTTTGGGGCATATAAGATGCTGATGTCTTACTGCTGATGGTGTTAACTTTCTTCTAGCACTTTGTTAAGGCACTGTACTGTGTTTCTCCATTCTGCTGTTACTATTTTTCCATTTGTAATTAATAAATATCTCTAGAAACACACTTTAAGACTATGTATATATTTTGCTTCTCCTCAAATATACACCTACTAATTCAGCATCCATTGGGAGTTCTTGCTGACAACAATTATTAGAGTGGTGTTTTAATAGTGGGTTTCTAGTTTGTTCATTATTTGTGTATTGATTATTTACAATTCTTCTCTAAGTAAGGTCTATTCCTTTGCCCTCATTTAATTATTCAGTTATTTATTCTTAGGAAAACCTAAATATCCATAAACCTATACCAAAATAAATTGGCTTATAATAAAATACTTCATTAAAATATATTGAAAATGCTCCCACTATTTTCTTACCAAATTCTTTAATTGTTCAGCTTTGGTCATGGAGTGTCTTTTTCAGTTTGGTCCTGTGCCTTTTTATTTTACTTAAGAATTTCTGACAAACCCTATTCTTTTTTCCACACTTCTTTGCTGTTTGGCACTAGAAGACGCTTCAGTCTCATATTTTTCTTACCCCAGCCTTAGAATCAATCACTTCTAAAGGAAACTTGGCTAATTTTATTAGAAAATGATAGATACATGACCTGAGCATGGGATATGTAAGTTGTCACTGTGGTGTCTTTGCTCCTAAACATTCATTCAGCAGAACTTGGGAAGAGACATATGAACACATGCATATGTATATGCACACAAATGCACACACATACCCTTCCCCACATCTACATTTATTTATGCATCTACCTTTAATTCCTTTCATGTCAAATTTCTGAGTTAAAGTGACATTTCAAGAAGGTAAGCCCTATTTAACCCATGGCTGGCTTCATCTGTTCCTGGACCCAGATCCATCTGTGTAGCAAAAATTAGAGTGTAAGAAGGAATAAATATAATTAATTTTACCACTGAAACCCTTGGTTGTACCCTGGACCATATCAGGCCTGTGTATCATGAGGGAAAGTAATCAGTTAACAAATAATGATTGCTTCCATCAAAAATATCTATGTTGACTTGTGCTTCAGGCAAATATGAAGTAATGGTTCTGTATTTACCCTCCCACTAGAAACAAGTAGAAAATACTAAACTATTTGTGACACAGTGGTTTTTAATATGAAGAACATCATATAATGAAAGAGTGACCTCTGAAAGGAATAACACAGAGGATGAGTCCTTGATTGTCCCACATTGCTGTTTGTAGGATTCCAGGACACAGTATAAAGAAGGAAAATCCAAGGAAATGTATTAGTGGCAAAGAGAGAATGATATGCACAGATAACCCCAAAATCTGAAGACAGTCATTCTCAAATATTTAGCAGCATAATGGCCAGTGCAATTACTTGAGGTTAAGAAAAGCACCAGACCAAAGAATCAGGGAAAACCTGAGCAACTATTTTGAAGATAACAATATGTACTATAACAACCTTTGTTAAATTCCTATCATATTGTTTTGAAGTCCTGTATCACTATTGTCTTGTTATTGTTATTGTCATTGGGCTTTTTTTGTTTTTCACTGTTTGTTCTTTTGATTGTTTTTAAATTTTTCTGTGTTCTTTCTTTTTAAAATAATAATAAAAAAAGAATTAGAGGAACAACTATCTGATTGTCACATGGAAGAAATGGTTAGGAAGAAATGGTGCCCTTTCCAACTAACCAGATTTTGGTACTAAGGTACTAAGTAATGGGAAAGTACTAAGTAGTGGGGATACTAAGTAGTAGGAAGTAATTTGTCTTATACTAAACATGACCCTTGATGCAAAAATACATGTAAAAACAATAAAAGGTCAGTCCCAGAACAAAATTTCAGAATATTTTTCAGTATACAAAAATATCCAAAATACAACAAACTGTTGGAGATGAAAAGTGTACCTGGTGGGGTTGAATGACAAGTTAGTTGCTATAAGTGAAAAGATTAGGGAAACTGAAAGCACAGCAATGGAAACTACCCAAAATTAAAAAAGAGAGAAAAAGGAATTTAAAAATTAAAAGTACATCCAGGAGCTCTGGGGACAACATCATGCATATGTAATTAGAGTCCTTGAAAGCAACATAAAAATATATGAAGAAAAATTGCTGAAAACTTTTGATAAACACAATATATTCACACATCCATGGAGCTAAATGATCCTTAAGCACAAAAAAGAGAACTAAACCAAAGAATATCATAACATAAATGCTTAATATGAATAGAGGAAATTCTTAAAAGCAGCCCAAGGAAAAGGCACATGATGTAAAGAAGAAGGAAAGTAAGCGTAACAAAAAAATTTTCATCATAAAAAATTCAGATAGAGCTAGGCATGGTGGTGCACAACTATAATTCCAGCACTTGGAAAGCTGAAGCAGGAGGATTGTAGAGCTTGAGGCCAGCATGGGATATCTAGTGAGTCCAAGGCCAGCCAAACTTTAGATTACTGAGACTTCCAAAAAAAGAAAAAAAGAAACAAAAAGAAAGGAACAATGCAAGCAAAAAGACAAAAGCACTATTTTTAAAATGCTAAAAGTACAAAACAGCTGCCAGCAAAATTTCTATGCCTAGTAATAATATCATTCAAAAGTGAAGGTGGAATAAAGGCTTATAAAAGTTGAAACACCGTATCACCACTAGATTTAAGAAAAGTAAAGGAAATTCTTTAGGAAGAAGGAAATGACTGACATCAGCTTGAAATACGAATCTATGCAAAGGAATAAAGATTAACAGAAATTATAAATACATTCATTTTAATTAAATATTTTTAAAGAACTAATAAAATTTAATGTGTATTGGCTGGAGGTGTAGCTCAGTGGCTGAATGCTTGCCTAGCATGTGTGAAGCCTTGGATTCCACTTCCAGCACAGGAAAAAAGAAATGTGTTGGCCATAAAGGAGAAAGGTGGTTAGTAAAAAAACGGGAACTTAGCTAAGGGGCAATGTCTCCAACACAGTCCAAGAGACAGACAGACAGACAGACAAACAGAGACACAAAGACAGAAAGCCTCCAAAATGAGTACTTACAGCAGTTTTATATGCAGCTTCAATGTAAAACACAAGGTTCTGTATGAAATTGACTTCATCTAGGCTGTGGATAATGTGGAGTCCTGAAGAAAAAGTAAAAAATAACTGGTCAATTACAAATTTAATACATAGCCATAATGAGGAAGTGTTTATTACTTCCAAGCAATCTGACTCTTGCTTATGGACAATGGAAGGTGTCTTGATTTCTATCCATAAAAATGACACCACAAATCAGCCCTAAATGTCCAACTAAGTGAGACAAGCATACTTTAACATGAAAGCAATTAAATTATAGATTCCACAGAAAGTCTCAGATTCCTGGTCTCATAGATAACAAATTTATAATGTACCTTAATATATAAACCTGGACAACTGAAAAGACAAAGAATAATATTTCAGAAAAGAGGCCGGATGTAGCACATAATGCCTCTCACCACTGCACTTGAAGGCTGAGGTAGAAGGATCACTGTTTGAGGCCAGTCTGGACTACATAGTGAATGCAAGGCTAGCCTGAACTACATGCAAGAGCTTGTCATAAAACAAAACAAAACAGAATCAGAACAATTCTAAATGCTAAGCAAGAAATAAAGTAAATAAAAATTGCTTTCAAGAACATAAAACCATATTTTAAATAAAGATGAAGGTACTTTAATATAAGCTATATAAAGACAATTATGGCTTACATATGGAGTGTTTTGTATGACTTACGCATTTAATTTTTGCAACAACCCTAAGAGGTTGGTTATTTCTATTTTCTTCATTAGGCTTAGTGAGGGTAAATATTTGCCTAAGGTCATGTAACAAATAGTGGAACTCAACTGACTGTAGATTTGTTTCAATTCAGAGACTGATTTCCTAACAATGATGCCTCTTACAATGTATGATAAGATCCATTTTTGTTCAATGTCTCTCCTCTTTCTCTCTCATCCACCACAGGATTAGAATATATACCAGGAAGATGTTAATATATATGAGAAAAAGTTCTTTTGTGGTGAGATTCAAAGTAATTTTACTTTTTTCTTGTTTGGGCGTCTTTGTAATTTTATTGTATTCTATAATAAACAGGCCCTATTTTTACACTAAAATGTTAAATAATATAAAACAAGGAAGCAAACTACAAGATATACTTCATAAAATTTTATATATAAAATATTAGCTCCTTAGCACTAAAGTTTTCTATGTGTAAAGTTTAGCAAGCAATTAACTTTTAAAATATCTGTTTTGTGACAAGAAACATTACTATGCACCTGTTATCCAAAGCCTTTATTTAGACTAGTTGATTGTAAACTAAGAAATCATTGCATAATTGGCAAATCATGAAGCTTGTTTTTCCTTTCTAGTCTACAAATAAGCAGGAAGAAGTGAAGATCAGTTTAGCTGTAGAGATTAAACATTAAACACTCTCATATTTTCCTGGTGAAGGCTATCCTTTTAAACAAAAGATTATATCCTCATTTTTAATAAAAACAGTTTTGGTTTAATGGAAATGACCATGTGCCAGCTATCTTGTGTTACAGCAGAAAAAGTACAGAATTTCTAGTTTGTTGAGCATTGGTGCAGTAAATAGATCTAGGGGTAAAGCTTCATTAAGCCACTTGAGTTTAATATTAAATACATGTATGAAGTTCCCAAAATAAACTTTATAACCATGTAATATTGCCAGGCACTAATAAAAACTTTAAAATAAATAAAATGGCTTGGGAATGAAAAAAATTCTTTGACATTCTTAGACACAGGATGTAAAGTGATTGTTAAATGTTTCTATGTCAGCTTTTGAATGAACTTTAGTGTAAATGTCCTGGATTATCACTCATTCCAGTTAAGACACAATTCTTAGAACAAACCACCTATATTTGGTAATAGGTCATAAAAAATCCTCAAGAGCTGTTAGCACAATAATTACAGCTTCTATTCAATTTAAATCAGATAACCATTAAATATGTTTATTCTGTCAGAAATTTCCCTTCTCAAAGGATACCATATGTAGACAGGCACAACTCACCTTCTGGGATGAGTATTGTAGACAGAGAAAAAAAGGATCGTTTATTACCATGTATTTATTTCTGCAAGCAAAAGACAAACGTTCTGAGGACGTTCCTATTTTGGATGTCTTAAGTGTGAAGGAGCTCTTTAACCACAGAGGAAGATAAAGAAATCAAAGTGCCAAAAGTGTGGTATTGTTAGAGGTATAGCTCAGTGGTATAGTACTTGTCTAGCACGCAGAAGCCCCTGGGTTCAATTTCCAACAATGAAAAATAAATGTTATTATAAGAAGTACATTGACTTACTTAGAATATCTGGCAAAGATCTTACTAAATTTATAAGCTGGATGTAATGAGATTTATTGACCGCTTTCTCAATTTAGGATAAATAAGAGAGTTATGTTTTTTTTGTGTTTTTTTTTTTTTTGGTAGTACTGGGCATTGAATCCAGGGTCTTTGCATTGAGCTATGTTTCTAGTTTTTTTCTAATTTTTTTAGACAGGGATTTGGTAAGTTTCCCAGGCTGGGCTCTAACTTACAATCCTTTACATTTTCATTTTTATGATTAAACATCTAAAGTTAATAACAAAGGCACCTGGGAGGAGTGTATTATTCAATAAAAAATAAACATTCAGGTACTGATCAAGTAGGAAATTTCCTAAGTGTACTAAGATACTTGTAGACAGATGTCTTATTTGTAATATATTCATAAAGAGTATTTAAACTAGTTGATTCCATTTATACTTATGCTAAAGTAGGTTTATCATTATATAGTATAAAATCCAGAAACAAACTCTAGCCCCTCTTTCCCATCTCCGCATATCTGAGGATTAATAAACAAAAGCAGTATCTGTCTAAAGAAGATTACTCCAGACTTCCTTGTTCTCATTTTGTAATAATATTCATTAGCACCCCACACTTGTTTCTTAATACAATATAATATTAACTAGGCCTCAAAGAGTTGTTTTACTGCACAAAAATTGTTTCCAATGTGCTTCTTTGAGCAATTTAAACTATGTTCTTTTCTGGCCAATACCTTTGGAGACACAAAGTGTGCCAGAACAAGAACTCTAAGCTCAAAGACACGTAGTACTTTTTTCCCCTGGAACTGACCTGAGGCAGTCATTTGTGCTAAGAAGAGCAGATATACAGAGGTAGCATCCAACTGCAGGTGTCCCCACTGGTCATCACCCACTACAGTGGCACAGGTTTTGGTGTTGTACTTGGCATGGAGGCTATCTTTAGTGCTCTGACTATATTTGAAGGACTCTACTTTATCCACCTGAAAAAAAGAAACAGCAAAAGAAGGATATTTGGAGCATTCAATTCAGATGCCACATTTCTGTAGTATCCTGACATACATCACTGAAGGCTGTCTTCAGGTAATTGTGAATATTTTAAACACATTGTTGTTTCTTTTTCCCAACACTAATATAACTGGTAAAAGCTTGTCATCATTTTTCAACTGAAGTAGTTTAATAAGAACATAATAAATAGTCAAAACAGCTATTTCTTATTCATTGATTGTCTTTCACTCTTTATATGTTTGTTTTGTCACATTGTACATATAAACTGAGATTCAGGGTATTTGAGTGAGAACAGCTTAGTAAGAGATAATTCAGTGTTGTACATGCCTGTAATGAATGGTAGTAACTGCTACATCTTAGAAACATTCTTTATTAAATTAGTGACTTTAAACCTATTTGGTAAGGTAGAAAGTGCAAATATCTAAACTACAAAAAAGTAGTAATGACAGTACAAGTAGATAGCTGTGAGATAGTGCAATAAAGAGAGCACTAAGAAGGGTAGAAGTCTGGAGTTAATTTCTTTCTGTTTTAGATTTCTTATGTCTCTTGTGTGTCTGTGGAATGTCACTTTACCAATCTGGGCCTCAGTTTCACCTTTAATGAAACATACTTTCAATCTCCAGAAAACAACGTCAGATTTGATATATGTGACATTTGAAAGAATCTAGGATAAAATAATTTGTTAATAAAATAATTTTGTACAGAGAAAACATAAAATCAAAAGATAAATGATAGACTGATAAAAAATCTGCAGTGCATGTAGCAATTGATTCATGTCCACAATATATAAGAACTCCTCAGTAGGTAAAAAGAAAAGGACAACCTAAAAGAAAAATAGGCAAAGGACCTAGCAGACACTTTATCAATGAGAAAAACAAAATTTCATTCTACTCATGAAAAGATGCTCAATTTCACTCAAGGTCAAGAAATACAAATTACTGCAAATCCAAGATCCTTTATCTCCAATCCTAAAAACCAAAACACTTTGAAAGAGTTTTGTTTTTTAGTAAGTTTTACTGCCAAAACTCTTTTGGTGGGAACTGAATGTCCTAAGTATAGCTGACTGAGCATGTGTCCTGTCCTGCTTCAAAGAGCTAGTCAGCTACCAGGCAGATCCCACCACGGAGACCAAGAGAATCCAACCTCTGCTTCCAGATGAAGAAGGGGCAATTACAGTGACAAAAAAAGATGAACAACTCTAAGTAGTGGATTTAAAGAAAGGATTTGACAGCTGAACAAGTTGTAAAAATTAATGCAGAAATAAGGGTTGCCAAAGCAGATGAAAAACCAGCTTCAGCTGATGGAAGAATCTTGTATTGAAAACTAGTCAAGTATTCCTCAGATGAAAAATATTCAGGTTTAACAGAAAACTCAAAAAAAAAAAAAAAAAAGAAAGAAAAATCAAATGAGAATAAAGTGCATAAAAATGATTGAATTAAAAAGAATTCACAAAAGCAAGCACCCTCCTTTTGTCAAGGAAGATGAAAATGAGTGTAAACATTTTAACTTAGTGTCCTTTGAAAGTACATGAGGTATTTTTTGTTAAATTATTTTTGTTTTTGCTGTTGTTTTTGTTTTTGAGGCAGGGTCTCACTATGTAGTTCAGGATGTATATTCATATATTATATATATATGTATATATAACTGATATTGTATTATACATGTTCTCTGTCCTGCTTTTCACTTGGTATTACATTGTGAGCATTTTCCAAATCAGTAAATTTTTAAAATCTGACATTAATAGCTACAGAGATTTTCATAACTAAACAGACTCCCTGTTGCATCTTCATCATTAGTGGAACACTAATGGAGAGTGAGGGAGATGATAATGTACCTGGTTGAAAATTTCTCTCCAGTTTCTGCTAAAAGAGGTTGTATGACTCTGGAGAGTTAAAAGATGTAATTCAAGACCTATTTAGTAAAGCTTCTGGGTGTTTTGATACAAATAGACAGACTTGGCAAGCACGATCCTTTGCTCTGTCTCTACTCTGCATGGAATGCCGATATGAAACCTAAGAGTACCAGAGCCCGTTTTTGGTATAAGGAAGACAGCTACTTGTTTTGGGTAATAGAGTGGGAGCCTGGGAAGCTCAGATCCTGATGGAGTGCTGACCTTTGAACTTCCTGATATGTAAGCTAAAGGAACACACTGCTTATATGAGCCTCAGTTGGGTTTCTGTTACACGCAGCTGAGTGTAATCCTAAGCGATACAGTAAATCCTCGTCAGATATTCTTGTATAAATATCTCTATTTATGATAGTTTCTTTACAGTGCTTTGCTAGAAGCAGAATTACTGGATCAAAGTATTTGAATAATTTTAAAACTACTCAGGTTTATTGTCAAATTGCTTTCTAAAGAGCTTTTAACTATTTCACTCATTTCCCATCCCATGAGCTTGTGTCATCTCATCTATAACAGTACAATGGCCTTGGGTTCACATCAGGCTTCTAATTTTAGTCAGTTTGATGTTTGTATTGGTGTTTAATAGTCAAATTTTATAGGCATTTTGTGTGGTCTACCAGGAACAATAAGCTGTTCTTTTTACATTAACTATTTTATATTTCTTAGATTAACTTTTTGTTTATTTCCATTAACATACTCATGCTTTTCTTACTAATTGGTATATTATATAACCCAATTATCTTATTTTGTTGGTCTGTTTCTCAACCTTTCTTAATATTTTATAAATTGTGTAATCTATAGTCTTTTTGTTATTCTGTTTTACACAAAGAATCGCTAGTAAAAAATCTCACTTGTTGGCATTATTAGATTCAAAGTGATACAGGAATGTTTGTATAAACTTTGTTCCATTTAGTGTCAAAAGATGTGTTTCCCTACAGAGATACATTTTTGATTACAGAGTACTGTCTTAGATCCACTGAAGGAATAAGATATAATATATACAATGTACTAGCTTTTTATAAGCTATGAGCATTCCCTTTCCCTAAGGGATACAGATAGTATTATGATGTGCTTTTGTTAGAGAACAAGTTGTTACCAACACCATACCTGTCTGATCATGCATTGCAACAGTCCTCTCATCAGCTTCACTACACTCTGCAGAAATAAATGGAAATGAGACTGTTATAAACATCCTTAGATGTGAGAACACTTACTCAGCAACTACAGTTGGTGCCTGACATTTTGAGAACAAGTAACTCTATCCTGGGCTCGTATTTACATGGCATTTACTTTATAGGTACAAAGAAGAGCAGACTACAGCAAAAAGTGGAACCAAATGCTAGTCTGTGATTCTTTCAAGTTAAAAATAATAATACAAGCCTTAGTAGGTTTATGTAAAAATAGGCCAACTATTCTAGTAAAGGACATGCCACCTAGAAGAAAAAGGGTAAGGTAGCGCAAAAATCCCAAGACATTACTTTTTATCTTTTCTAAACTAACCAAGAATTAAAATTTAATGGAAATAACTATCTGGACATTTTCCCCTAGGAAAAAAATTGTAAAAGTGAATTGCAACTCACAGTAAATATAAAGGGAGATGGTTAGTATGACTCAAAAACTTTCTCAAAGAGGGGAAAAAGAATAGACTTTTTAATTCTTCAGGCATCACTATTTTTCTTACTAGGGTTTAAAAATTTCTAAAGTGTTTTGTTTTCCAATCATAATATTCCAAAATTTTGGCCACGAACTATATAATACATGACACTTTTTGTCCTCCTGGAATGGACTTTATTAACCATGTTTATCTTCAAATTCCAACATCAGTAGTAGCATGGGTAGGTATGTTTTAGATGAACGTAACTTAAAATCTTCAGTAGTTATACAAGAAGCTTTCTGTTTCATAGGTCAGAAAACAATCCAACCAGTTTACTTCAGAAAATGCTGGCACAGAAGTAGCTTTCAGACACCTCTAAAAACTAATCTGCTTAGAAGCCATATCATTCTGTTATTCCTTCAAAACATATTCAAGATGGGCTATAGGCAATAGGCATGATAAAGATAAATATCTATTTTAAGGACATTCAAAGTTATTTTTTGATATATGTTTGTATTTCCAAATTGCATTTATCTTGCGAAATTGGTACATGTATATGTCACAGCTTACTCATTTTTACTTCACTTTCTCCTTTTGAGTTTCTTCTCCCTCCTTTCCCAGGTCTTTTTCTCATCTCCACAAAGTCCACCTTCCTGTTTTCTATAATTTCTCTTTTGTTCTTTAAGTTATTTACATTTTGAGTTCCTCACATAAGAGTGGCCAGTTTCTATTAAAGTATGACTCACCTTCTTATGAAGACTTACTGAGAGAAAGGTAAAATTTTTTTCCCATGGGAGAGTCCTCCTTTTTCAGTAATTTTGTCTATAAATGGTCTCCTCCCTCTACTGATAAAAGATTTTAAAATAGAAAGAACAGGCAGTGTTTGATCTTGTCACATTTGAAAGACTATAGTAGTTATTAAAAATTAATGAACTGACTATAAACCCTACAAAAAAATCAACACCACCTTACTTTTACCCCACGGAAAGAGATCATCTTTTTAAGATGCCCTGTTACTCAAAGTATTTAACATGCCTCTTCTGCGGGGAGACTTTGATCAATTCTGATACATGCCATCACATACTCAAAGGTTTCTACCACATTCTTTCTTTTCCATCATTCAATGATGAGGGTGGGAAGCAGGGGCAGGGTTTGAACAATATTTTGTTAAGACTCTAACTTCTTTACTATTTCACTATCTTAGACATTTTATCTCTTGCTTATTTATCAACTCTCTTTACCATCTAGGCCCACTACTATCATTTAAATTTACTTTAATTTAGCAGCAAATCTTTCCTCCTTGAAGTTGTTGTGTCAAATACAATGGTACCTCGGTTCATGAATGCTTTTGTTTGCAAATAATTTGGTTCTCAAATGAATTTGGCAATATTTTGTTTTTGTTTGTAAGCTGCACATTGGGTGATGAACACAACTGCAACCATATTTCCTGCACAAACATGAACATGGCCATCTTTTCCAGAATCATGGAACAAATTAAGTTTGTGAACCACGGTACCACTGTATTTTGTACCAGCAACTGGAAAATTAGTGCAGAAAACTGATACCAGAGAAGTGAAGCTCATTGTTGTCACTATACCTAAGCATGTGGTTTAAAAGCCTTTGGTACTGGTTTATAAATGGTTTGTAAATGTTTAGAGATGAATGATAGAGAATTCCTAGAATGCTATAAACAGAGCTTGATGGGCAGTCTTAGAGCTCAAAAGACAAGAATGCTGTTAGGAATACAAACAGTAAAGGACAGGCTCACCAGGTTTTAGTTGGGAAGAGGGGCTTTATTGGGGATTGGACTAAAGGTAGTGGATGGTACACTCCTGCAAAAACTTGTTTGTATTTTTCCCATGTCCCAAGATTTTGCAGGAGGCTGAGTTTAAGGGAGGCAAATTAATGTGATCTTCAGAGAAAATTTCAAGGTAATTCAACATTCAGTCTGTGGGGTGGAAATGACTGGTTGCTTTCAGCTAGATTTATAGGGAGAATTAGGGAAAAAGCAGAACAGAATGATTCAAACAATTTAAATTTTGGACAGAAAGCACATGTGAAGCACATGTGTAGGTGTGGTCAAAGGAAGTGTGATTAGTGCCATTAAAAAGAAATTTTTGAATCAGGACAAAAATATACCTTGAAGGCATTTTAGAAATCAGCAATACTTCACCCATTGCCTGAATGGTGCAAAAGTATAAAACTTTCATTTGAGAAAGCATCCTGCTCTAAATGGGCTCTCTTGAGTACTGATTTCTTGGGATTCATTTCACATGATCAGCTGTCCAGGCACATGGGAACCATGGTCCAAGAAGGCCTGGTTATTGCATGTATCAGTGGCAGATCTTGGCAACATCTCCATGATGTTGGTTCTTCAAGAATGCAGAATGCAAGACTTGTGTGGTCATGAACATGTCCACACAGATTTCAAAGGAAGGCCTGAGAGGCCACAAACTGTGCCCCTGAGAGCTGGGTAGAAGAAGCTGTGAGAATGAAGTCAGAGATGCAGTGGAGCAGCATGCAGTGAGCATAGTACAAGAGAAAGGCTGAGGCCATTTGGGATGAGGCTGCTCAAACTCTTTAGGACTCACTTCTCACTACCATGTGCCCTCAATGCTGGACATAGAGCTAATAGACCTAATGTTGGCCCTGTTGGATTTTAGTCTTGCTTTGGTTCTATTTTTTTCTATCATCCATTTTTCCCTTTTGGGATGGGAATGTTAATCCTGTACTTGTGTAACAGTGGTAATATGTAACTTCCTTTTTAAGTTTTATAGGATTTCATGGTAAGACTTTGCCTTGAGACACAGGGGGTCTCATTAACATAGATTTTAGAGAAAAGTTAGAACTGTTGAGACTTTGTAGAAGGATTTACTGCATTTTTGATTGTACCCAAGATCATTGCATTATAATAGGTGAAATTATGACCTTATTATTATCTATATTTTGAGATTAATTACGATTTAAGATGTGACTGGGTACCAAGTTAACAAGATGTACAATGTGGTTGTTAAGCTTGTCAATTTGAGTGGATTAAGGGATTCTTGAGGAACCATTTGGCCCATCAAGGCCCATTCAATAGCTGAATGCATTATTAGTAGCTGGGTCCCTGGGTATGTGCCTTTAGAGAGTGTAGCTCTTGCTGGTACTCTTCCCTTGTGCTCTGCTTCCTGGCCACCATGAATTAAATAGTTTTGTTCTGTCATGGCCCTCTTCCATAATATTTCTGCCTTGGATACAGCCAATCATAGACTGAGCCCCTTGAAACTGTGAACCAAAATAAATGTTTCTTCCTTTAAGTTGTGGGAGTCAGATATCTTTACTGGCAACAGGAAAGATGACTAATATAATACTTGTCTTCAATTACACAATATCTAGGGTACTGTCTTAATATATTATAATTCTTTGTTTATACATCTGCCTCTCATCAGAATATAAACTCCTTGAGAAAAGGGGACAGAATCAGATTCAGGAAAAAAGACCTTTAATTCAATATAATAACTGCATGTACTAAGCAGGTTAAAAACAAACTCATGTCTACAAGTAACTCTTAAGTGGTTTATCAATAAATCACCTATGTATGTGTATATAGATATGTGTTTGCAAATAATACAAAATGTTAACAATGGTGAATTTAGACAAGGACTATCTGCAAATAAATCAATTCTAGTATTCTTCCAACTTTTCAGTTAAATTTGAAATTTTCTAAAATAAAAGTGTAAGGTAGATCTGGGCATGTAATTCAGTGATAAAGCATATACTTAACATGTAGAAGGTCCTGGATTCCACAACACCAAAAAACAACTTTGAGAGTTGCACATAAATATTTGGTCCCATTTTTAAAATATCTATTATAAAGCTTGGGACATGAAAATCACACCAAGTCTGTTAGACGAAAACATGAATGTGTTGAATGGCACGCGGCATAAGTGATCTGGAAATTCCAAGGAAGGAGTCCTGAAAAAAGTTATAACTGCATAATTAAGTGGGGGTTAGAACCATAGAAAAAGTGGGTCTGTGTTGGGCTTAATAGTTCATGAAGGAGACAGGAATGTGGAAGAAACTTCTCACTAAATTTGGTGGTGACAACATCTATGGCTTTCATGGAAGCAAAAAGCCAAACAAGACTGAATCTGAAGTCACATAATCCAGGTTTTAGTCACAACACCACCTAATTCCAGATCCATCTCTTTGATCAGCCCATTCACGTAAATTTGGGAGAATAATATCTAGTTTACAGGATTTTATAAAAATAAAATACCAGTAATTTGGGGAAGTAATCTATACAATAAAAGTTATTCATGTAATGTGTCTGTTAGGTGTCTTTATTAAAGGATTGTTACAGGAGTAATAGTGACACCAACCTGGTTGGAACTGGGGAAATACTGGAAATTAAGTGTGGTTTTCACAACAGTGTTAGGTGATGAAGGTTTAGATTAGGGTTAAGGAAAGAGTGGACGAACTCAAGAAATTATAAAAATCAAGAGTCTTTTTGTCTACGTGTATTAACAGGCAAGAGTGAGAGGAAAAAACTCAACTTTCAAGCTAGTTTTATGAACACTAATACAAGAGATCATAGAAAGGCTATATAATTCACATCCACTTGATATTTGAAACACACATTCATGCATTAAATGTTCTGAAAAATTAGAGTAATTTTAATGTAGTTAAGAGATCAGAAAAGTTTAGAACATGCTGTTTAATGTGGTTCCAAATGTAGTTGAGTCCATGTTTCACAGAACGCACTAGAGAAATTACTCCAAGTAGTGTTACCAGGGTGATGGGTAGAATGAGGACACAATTAAAAGAAAAAGGGATGTTTGGCGAAATGTTCAATAATTTATTCTGTTGTTTTTACTGGGGAAGGTGAAGTTTCAGATGCACTGAGTTAGAGGAGCCAGTGTGTGTGTGTGTGTGTGTGTGTGTGTGTGTGTATATCTATATATATATATATATATATATATATACAGGCAAAATAAAAAGGAAAACTGGGGCTTGATATTGAAGATCACAGTTAAAGGTGAATATTTGTAAGTCATTCTCATAAAAATAATAGTTAAACTCATGATAAAAGATGAGAGACTGTACAAAGAGAACAAAACTAAGGAAGAAGTAAGACTGGAGGCAGGCAAAGAGAGATATCTATTTTTATGGCCATGAGACTTTACTTGCCTGGGAGAAAGGGGCATTTGTAAAACCATACATGTATGTAATTCCATTCTCTATCTAAATTATGATAGTCGTTTAAGCCCTTGTTTTATTTTTCATCCAGAATTCTCTTCAGGTCTCTGACACTATTTATCAGAGAAAAGTCAAAGTGAGAGTTGGAAGGAATGGTATAAATGATTAACAATCAATGTTTTGTGAAAATCCATACAGTGATAGAAAGTTGGCAGTAGGTGAAAATTTAATCTGTGGATTTGTTGGATTTAATCCACATTCATTTACCAGCCACAGATAACTCATTGTCTGTGTACACTAGATCTCTGTGTACATTAGAATCATCTGAGTAATTTTAAAAACTATTCATGCTCCTGGGTTCCATCTACAGAAATTCATATTTAAGTTGTTCTAAAGCAGGGTCCAGTAAAGGTGTTTCTGAATAATTTCTCAAGTAATTCCCAATGTACAGCCAGAATTTAGAACCATTCATCTAGACCAGGGACAAATCCAATCCAACACTGTTTTTGTAAAACTTTGTGGGATATAACTGTGCTCATTGTTCACATATCATCTCTGGCTCTTTTGTATTACAACTACAGAGCTGAATTACTGGTCAGAGAACACAAGTGACTTACAATGTTCAAAACATTTACCATTTGATCCTTTACAAAGATGGTTTTCTGACCCTTTATCCAGAATAATAGGTTTGAAAAAAAATTAATGAGATCCAATAGAAAAATACATTTTAATTCATAATGCAAATTCATAGCAACTTTAGAATTCTCACAGGAACTGTTCTTCTTTGATGTATCCTATTTCCATAAGAGTTTGAAACATTCCAAAGTTAATATTGGAGTGAATTAAAAATATTTTTGGTAATATAAGAAGTTGTAAAATAGAACATTAAAATTTCTTTTTCTTTTTTTGTCTTTTTCCTTTTTATCGGTACCAGGGATCGAACTCACGACTGCCTGCTTACAAGGCAGGCACTTATGCCGCTGAGCTAAATCCCCAGCCCCCTCAATTCCTTTTTTTTTTGGGGGGGGGACATTAAAATTTTACAATGAACAATTCAGGGTCTCCCTACTTTTTCCTCTTCCTCTGTTAAATTCTTTCCACTTGGGTTAAATAAGGAAAAATGCTAATTTTGCGGAATTAACAATTGGTCAATGGAGAGAAAACATATTTAATTTAATAATATTTTTAAAAAATTGATCAAACTATACCAGTATGTAATTCTAATTCTACTGGAATTTATTTCTAGCAAAAACAAAACAAATAAAAACAGAGAAACAAAATACTGAGCGTAACAGTCAGAGTAGGATATAGGATGGGGAGTGTTTAAGGCATTACACTCCTCTATATTTTCCATATTTGTACAATGGTATTACTTCCACAAAAGTCATAAAAATATTGATTGGGACTTCCTGGAGTACAACAAAAACTCAATAATAAGTTGAAGGAATAACAAATGCCTATTGTTGCTAAGGACAATATAGCGAGATGTGTCCTACTATCAAGAATAGCAACCCTACAGAATATTGGTGCTCTTAAAAACAACCAAATTTGAATATTCTGATTTATAGGTGAAGACTGGAGTTTAGACTGCCAAAATTTGAAGGAGACCGTATGAGGAAATGGGTGGTTTAGAAAGAATCTTTGTAACTAATGGAAAATAACCCACATACACCTTTCAACTGATAGCAGAGTACTGCAGCTCTAAAAGTAGCCCATCTGTAGCCCAGATGATCATTTTCTTGGTTATTCAAGAGAATATGGTCCCCTGCGTGTTTAAACAGTTTTGTAAAAGACGCTCATTTACTGAGAAGGGCCATAAAAGTGGCCTTACTGGTACTGTATCTGCTGACTCTGACCTCATTTTGCTTCTGAGAGGAGCAGGAGGAGGTAAATGACTCTCAGAAGCAGTGGTTACAGCTGTAAAACTGAAGTCTTTGTATTAGTACAGAAGGTTTGCTGATTTGTTTCAGTTACATTCATACAAATACTACCAATTATTTTTAAAAAATAAAATAAAATAGTAGATAGCTGCTCCAAACATTCTCAGTGAGAATGAATTGGAGACTGCAAAAAAGTTACTTAGACAGAGGATGATTAATTTTAGGAAAGATGCCAAGATAGCATTTTCCAAGTTAATGGAACAGATTGTACCATTTCCCCTGCCTCAGCAAGTTTCATGTTTGCACTGCAAAGAAATCAGTACAATACAGGAAAACTTTTCAGAGTATAATTTTAGGAAGGCAAAGAAAGAGTTAAATTTTTTCTTTAATCCATGCTCCCTCTAACCCAACTACACATAGCTCCATATCTCTTTGTAGTTTTGTTTTCAATACCTGCTCCAGTTCATATGCCTTCGCCTTATCCTCATCGCGGTCTGCATTCTTCCGATAGGCCAGACCCAGACCCCATACGGCCAAGATACTGTACACATTATCTCTGACCCAGGCATCTTTCTGATCATAGCTGGCTGGAAGCAAGCCGGTCACTGGATTCTGCGAGGCCAAGCAAAAGAGAACAGGCAGGTAACTGCAGAGTATTAATACGAAAACAAAATCTGTGGAATGGGTTATTGCAAACTTTGGTCTTTCCTATACTTTCCTACTCCTGACTTTTAAACCCTTTCTTCTTTTAACCAGTTGCAGGCAAATGTTGTCTCCACCTCTCCAGCTTTGCTGAGCTACTATAGTTGACAATAAAAATTTACATATTTAAGATGTATATGATGATTTGAGATACAAATATATATATATTATATATATATAATATATATATATATATATATATATATATAAAATCAATTAACCCAATCAAGTTAACACATCCGTCACTGCATACAGTTACCTCTTTCTGGTGGTCAGAATACTTAATATTTACTCTCAGCAAATTTGAACTACACAATAATGTATTATTAACTACAGTCACCATGCTGTTGTTCACTAGATCCCCAGAAAACACTTCTCTTTTAATGGAAAGTTTTTATTCTTTCCAAATACTAACTTGTGTATGAGTAAAGAATTGACTAAAGCTTTACAAAGTCCAAAATATGGGTTTTATTAAAATAAAATCATTTTTAGGGTATCGTTAAAGGATATTGTTAAAGAAGTTTAAACTCTCCAGTTATAGTCAATTGCCAATAACAAATGAGTAAAGGAGTAGAAAAATATGATTAAAAGAATATTCAACCAAGCATGATTGGCGCACCTCTGTAATCCAAGCACTCAGAAGCTGAGACAAGAGGATTGAAAGTTCTAGCCCAACCTGGTCAACTTAGCGACTTAGTGAGACTCTGCCTCAAAATTTATAAAAGAATTTAAAAAGTGGGGGGATTTAGATCAGTATAGTGGCCCTAGGTTAACCCCCAGTGCTGAGAAAACAGTATATATAGCAGAAAACAGTGGCTCATGCCTGCAGTGTGCTATTTGAGAGGTGGAGGCCGAGGAAGAATGATTTCAAGTTCCGTATCAGCCAAGGCAATTTAGCAAGACTCTGTTTCAACATAAAGAAATATTAAAAAGTAAGACTGAAAGGGCTGAGGATGTTTTTAAATGATACAGCACTTGCCTAGCACGCATGAGGTGCTAGGTTCAATCCTCAGCATCATACTCACGGTATAGAAAAAGTCTGTACAAAATGCTTTGACTACAGTGAAGGTCTCCCTATTTTGAAGGTTCCTGTATTTCTTTTCCACGAGTGGGGAAGAGGAAAGAGTTGAGGCTCAAACCTAGGGGCTGGGGAATGTCAAGCATCAATGCATGTTGCAACTCTGCCCCTCTAATGAGGCGTGCTTTTGAGGACACCCAGCTAAAACCATCACTCAGAGGGTCATTGCTACTGGTGCCTCACTCTGGTTCGGTTCCAGATCCAGAACCTACATTTCCTTCAGTGTTATTTTATAACCTTCTCACCTGGGGGATAGGAGAACCTGCTACACACACACACACACACACACACTCACACACACTGTTACCCAGAGTCTCTGCCAAGTATTCCACACTCCACATACTCGGTCATCCAAGGTGACACACTTATAATTAATTACCTGGTGGCACAGGATCGTCTGATGTACAAGCCGCGCGTAGCCGTCCAGCCGGACTCCGGAGTTACTACGACTCCTCATAGCGCCACGTTTCTAAACCTTTCTGAAGCACCGCGGGGTGCCAGAGAAAGAGATCGTCAGTCCCGCGGGAACGAGGTTCCAGAGCACCTGCCCCTAGCTGTGGAAAACCTACGCGTCAGGCCCCACAGATCCTTCACAACGCTCCAGACAGGGGCGGATAAGTCTTTTGCAGTGCTCCCGGGAATGGCCGCCTTCGACCCACATCAAGCTCTCTGGGCTTCCTCCAGTCTGGAGCCCTGCCACAGTGCCTGGGTAGCCACCACACCGCCTTACTTAGAACTCTTCGGCCTTTGCTTGTGGCTCTGGCATTCTCTGCTCAGTTCCCAGAGACCACCAAGGCCCAGGTCCTGCAACTGGCTACAGGCAGCAGGTCACCCGCCACAGCACCGCCTCCACCTAGCAGGAGGCGGAGCGGGCACCTCGGGTCCTGGCAGTTGCGCGTTGCGCCCCTGGGGCTCCGCGCCGCCCCCCCCCCCCAGCGGAGAATGTGTCGCCGTAGGCAATGTACTCTCAGAGGTTTATTTTCGAAACACTTCAAGTGACTATTTTAATTTTCCACACTTGCTGTACACACAAGTTGTCGAGGAGATTGCTTCTTTTTTCTGCGGAACTAGTTTTAGGAACCTGCAGTAATCTCAAAACTGAAAGGAAAAACGAATTGTAGTCAACACGTAAAGAATAAAATTTTCAAGATCTGGGGCTGGAGGTGTAGTTCAAGGGTAGAACATTTGCCTGACAAGCACAAGGCCTGGGGTTCAATCCCCAACAAATGAATGTCAGGAAGTTCATTATACTTTAGGTTTTGACTAAGAGCTCAAATTAAATTTCGCACTCTGATCGAAATCAAACAGGATAGGTATGTTAGGTAAAGTCCTTTATACTTTAGGAATGGGCGAGTCCGCGGTCTTGGCGCTGAGGCAGGCAGCAGCTGTGGGGAACTAGGCTGAGAGCGAGCAGAGCCGGAAGGCAGCCTTGGCAGGACTAGGACTAGAGGTCTTATTACTGCTTAGGAAAGCTCCCTCCGGCGCCGGCGCCTTAGGTCACAAGGCTGAGACGACAAAAAGTCAGCTGAAAATAAAAGAAGACTGGAAGATTGGAAAATAAACTCACAGGTAACGCAGATCACTAGCTTCAGAGAATTGTGTCTGCAACTGGCGGGGCAGTGGAGCCCGGCGATTTTGCTTTCTCATGCCCCACCCCACCCCCTTGTTCCCTGCTTGTCCAGACCCTGCGTGCTTCTCAAGATGGCTTTAAGTATCACCTGCTCGCTGTACAGAAGGGGAAGAGAATTAGACCTATTGACCTTTCAAGCTCCGAGCCTTTCCTAGCTACCTCACCCAAGCCACAATGATTTGCATTTTTATCTTATTTCTCTAACTTTCCTCTGTCTTATAAATGCCCTCCTTCCCACCCACCCTCCTGAATTTAGCATATAGTTAGGCAACTTGGAAAGTGATTAGCAAATATTTCAGAATGATGAAGAAGAATGAAGGAATACAACTCAAACCTGAAACTTTCAGGTTCAACAGCCAGTCTGTGATACAGTTAGATACAATGACACAGAAGTTACAGGTCAAATATTTTCCATTGCAGTCACTACCTACACAAACGCAATGAGTGCTAATAATAAGCCATTTCAAAGCCTCAATACACAAGGGAAAAGAGTTCACTTTGGAGGAAAAGTCATTCATGCTCTGCCTCCAACTCCCTGACATCTTCTCTTTATTTATTTATTGGTTAGTTTACTGGTACATTTTAGGTTTACATAATGATCACATTCATCATAGGAAATTTGTACCTGTATACGACATAACTTAATTCTTTTTTTCCCCATTCCCTTATCCTCCCTTCAGCTTCTCTAGCCTTCCTGACTTAAAAAAGCATTGCATTTTTTAACATCTTTTTTCCTTTCCCCTTCCTTTCTTTTCCCCTGCCCCTCCCTCTTTCCCTGTTTACATCTTCCGTTTAGCCTGGGGGATTAGAAGCCTTTTCCTTATCCTTTTCCCCTTCAAACACCTGCCTTCTGTTTTTCTTCACCTCACTATCATTTAAATATGTTTATAAAATATTAAGGCAAATATGTGTTCATCAAAGGAACCTTGAAAAGTACAAAAGTGAAACATAGAAATATTAAAATCACTCATGACCGTATCACGTAACCACCTGTCAATGTCTTAACGCATTTTTTTCTAGTTTTTTATTCTTTCTGCATAGACATCCCCTCCAAGTTGTTTAGAAGTGTGACTAGATTAGTTAACCTAGAGTGGATGTTACTAAGAATGGTAGCTAGCTGGCTATCAAGAGACCTTTGTGGATGGTTTGAAACTCAGTCCAGACTGGATTGTTAGCCTTGCAGTCTAGAAATTTGATCTACACAGTGCTTCGGAACTGGTCAGACTCAGGACGCTGACTCATGCTGACTACCTCACAAGAGCCTGATTTATGAAAACCAAGATGCTGGTTGGTAATGAGAAATAGAACTGGGAAACAGTTTATATTGGCATGACTACCACTTTCCCTCTCTTGAGTAATGTGTAAACTTCTTTGCGTATCAGGTGCTCTAGTACTGTATAAAATGACCATATCAAGTAGATCCCATCATTAAATCTAGTTTTGAGATAGAGAAACTATGGCACACCAAGATTAATAACTGATCAATGTTTTCTTCCTTGTTTCATTGATTATCCCTTGATAGGATTATTTTCAAAAGATGAGAAGTATAAAACAAAAGAAACCTTTATTCTGAGAACACACAGAGAGAGAACCAGCACCTCCGACCACTGGAGTCTGGCTCTCTCTCTGGCGGACACGTGGTGCTGGGGGTATGTAAGTAGCCTCGGTTTGGGGTGGAACCTAAGAGGGCATCAGGGATGCACAGGTAGCCCATTGGTCCTAGGTTTGGTGCCAGAGGTAAGTTTCCAGGAGCAGGGAAGATGATGTCACAGGTAAATTCCTAGGGGTGGGGGAGATAGGAGCTTCCTGGTTCTGTTTGAGGCTTTTTCTGGCTACAGAGTCCTGTCTGGGCCAAAACCCTTTCATATCCCATCTTATGATTATTATTATGAAAAGGTGCAAAGATTTCTCTCTTTAATGACTTCCTGCTGGCAGGGGGCACTGTACTGGAATCTAGGGGAGTCGATGGGGTGACAGTTGATGCCCAGGTAGACATTGGTGCCAGATGTTTTAGCCAGGACAGCTTCACTGGTGAATGCACGTATGTTAGACTGGAAAAACAAAGAGACATGATGTTATGAGGAGACATGGCACTGTCATATTTAAGGACCCAGGTGAGGTAGAGGGAAAGATGCCTTTGATTTTCATTGTCACAGTGAGGTAGAATTCTGAAAATTAAGTGTGAGGTTAGGATAAATGATGTCATGAGGGGTGATTACTCCCCCATCTGAAAGCATAAAAGTTAAGAGAGTAGGTGTGTAAAACTTGTCTCCGATCCAGGAGTTGAACTGGAAAAAATAGAGGGAGTAGGGAAGGCAGTGGCTGTACCAGTATAAGGAAAGTAAGAGCTTTCAAGGATGTCACGCTTAACCAGACAGCTGAGGCTAGAAAGAACTATGACAGTCATTGCATAGAACATTATGAAGATTATCTTTCGCGTGATGTGGGAGTCTTTGGGAAAGACTGTCAAGAGTCCTGCTGTAAAAATGATCATTAATAGAACGTAAGAAATTAGGAACCAAAGTGGATAACAAAATATGACAGCCTGAGAGTTGTGGCTGTGGGGCCTTGGTAAGGCAGAGATGAGCAGGCAACAGGATGGTTAGATCTAGGGCCTGAGTGATGCAAAACCAGAATGGCAGTCTAGCAACTTTGATATAGGTATGGGTCACTGTAACCTGATTGTAGTCCTTGGAATGATTTGCTGTAACAGAACTTCAGCAAGTACATCAGCAGTTTTCCTGGTTGTAGGAAAGGCTTCTATGTATCTTGAAAAAGTATAAACAAAGTGGGAAGACAAAATGTATCTGTCAGTCTTGACCAGGGTTACCAATGGAGAAATTGGTGAATAAGAAAGGAAGGAAGTGGTCTTATATCATTGAGGAGAGGTTTATTAGTGATAACAGGTATAAGCTGTTGAGGCCTCAGTGTGTCTAAGTCAGCCTGTATAAAAGGCATTTTAAGATTTAGGACTGGGACCTGCACAAAATAGGCCTTGTTTGTAAATGGCATAGGTTGACCATCAATACCCTGTCATAAAGATTGAGGACTTAATATAGCAGCCTGAAAACTCAGGAAAAACTCTGTATATATGGCCTCTATGTCCACAAATATAGAGAATTGTCTTATCTGAGAGTTTAATGTGACTTGGACTCTGAGATGGACACCCACAAAGGGGCTGTTGTTGCCCTGAACCCCCTCAGTGTTCGGCAGCAATTTTATCTGTCAGTGATTAATTTGGCAGTGTCAACATTTCCTGTGAGGGCTAGAAGTTAGGATGGCCTACCCACTCTCTGGTGGCCAGGACAGCCCAGCAGCCCTGGGCAGCGAGAATCCTGTAGAGGTCAGAGAATTATCAGAATGAGTCGGAGACTTTGAGGAAGCCCTAATAGAGTGATTAGAGTTGCTGGGAGAGGTATGGGTCCCAGGAGAGGAAGAGGAAAATGGTCACACAGCAGGAGATAACTGTGGTGCAGAGGGATTAGAGCTGCTGGGAGAATTAGAGATCGGGGGAGGGAAAGATGATCACATGGCGGGAGGTAACAGCAAGGAACGATTTTGGGGTTAGGCAGGTGGCAGCCAAGGAGAGACCGGAGGAACATCATCGAGCAAATCCTGGCAGGAGGAAACAGTTTGTGTCGTGGCAGAGCCCAGCGCCAAGGATTCTCTGGAGAGTGCTCACCTGAAATTAATTGGCTGGTGTTGAGTGCGGATGGGCGGTGACAGGTTAAGAACCCCGGAGAGAAAATTGGCAGGATTTAATCCAGTTCGTGAATCGGCTGGTGACTCAACCCAGTATGTCCCAGGAGTCAATTGCCTGCTGATCGAGTCACAGCACCAAATGATAGGATTATTTCCAAAAGATGAGATGTATAAAACAAAAGAGGCCTTTATTCTGAGAACATGGAGAGAGAGAACCAGCATGTGGCATTGGGGGTATGTAAGTAGCCTCGGTTTGGGGTGGAACCTAAGGGGGCACAGGTAAATTCCTAGGGGTGGGGGAGATAGGAGCTTCCTAGTTCCAGTTGAGGCTTTTCTGTCTACAGATTCCTGTGTGGGCCAAAACCCTTTCATCCCTTATCTATGCTCACATGGCTCTGTTGGGCGCAGGTGCTCAACATACCATACCCGGGACTAAGGACCATGCCAGCTTCTGCAATGCGCTACGTCCCTCTCCAAATTAGTCACCCCGTGCTCACTTCATATTCGCCCCGTGCTGACTCTGTGGCAACCCTTGATTGACCACAGCTGGGTATATTGGCCAGAGCCCGTGTCTCATTCCAGCCCTTCCTCCTCGTGGCAGCCCTCATGGCAGCCTGATTGGCCACAGTCAGATATATAAGCCAGAACCCGCAACAATAAAGTTGGCAGTTACCTGTTACCCACAAGAGCGTCCTCTGTCTCATTGGGGGGCTGCGCTGGTCATGGCTCCCTGAAATATTCTTTAGATATGCTGAAATTGTCACCCAAGTTATAGTCAAAGCTTGTTGGTCTGGAACCTATTATCATTTTTTAATTATTGTACTTATTTGCTACATTTATACATTGTGTAATGATCAAGTCAGGTTAGAGTTAGGTAAAAGCTTTCAAAATTCTTTCTTCTTGCATTATGAAATACAAGACATCATTATCTCTAGTCACTCTAATGTACTATAGCCCACCAGAACTATTGCCCACTCCTAAAGAACTAAACCTTAGTACTTACTGATGAACTTTTATAGTTCTTCTTCCTCATTTTCTATGTGATCAGCATTTAGATTCCACATGCGAATGAGATGTGTGTTTGCTTTCAGCATCTATTTCACTTAACATAATTCCTTCTAGTTAGATTCATGCTGTCTGTGGCAAATAACAGGATTTTATCCTTTTAATGGTACAGTAGTATTCCATTTGTGTGATCCACATTTTCTTTTGTCTATTCATCAGTCTATGAATACACAGGCTGTTTCCATTCTAGCTGTTATGAACAGTGCTAAAATTAACACATGACTGGAAATCTCTCTTTGATACACTGATTTCATTTCCTTTGGATACATACCCAAGTAAGGGATGACTGGATCAGACAGTAGTTCTAGTTTTAATTTTTTGAGGAACTACTGCGTTAGCTAGTTTTTAGTGGTATGACAAAATAACTGAGATGAATAATTTACAGAAGGAAAGTCTTATTTTGTCTTGAGGCTTCAGAGATTACAGTCCATGCTAATTTTAACCTTTTTTTTGCTTTAATGTAATACAAGTATATATTAATAAAGGAAATATTTTAAGAAACACTCTTCTAACTTCTATGGAAAAATTTCACAACAAAATTTCACAACAAAATAATTGGCTACAAAAATATTTCAATATATATGCTATTTTGTTTCATTTATACTACTAGTTTCTCTTAGTCCATTGAGAAGAAAGTTTTGTGCTAATATCTGTTTCTTATTATCTGTAAGAGAAAGATGGTCTGTAAATTGTAAAGAGTATTATAATTACCCCACCGTGTAACATTTTAGCCAATTTTTTTTTGTCTTTTTAAAATGGAGTATTGCTATACAGTTTAGGCTGGCCTTAAACCTGCAACAATTTTGCCTCACCCTGAGAAATGCTGGGAATATAGGTGTGCACCACCACGCCCAGCAAATTTAGCCATTCTTTAAGATTTGTGGATTTGGGGTCTGTGGTGAGGCAGAACATCATGGCAAAGCAGAGCTGCTCACCTCGTGGTGACTGGAAATGGAAAGAAGAAAAAGGAGTTTGGACCTCAATATTCCTTTCGAAGGCATATTCCCAGTGAACTTCTTCATCCAACTAGGCCCCACCTCCTAGGGCTTCCATCACCTCCCATTACCATCACCAGCTAGGGACTAACACATCAGTGTATGAGATTTTGGTAGACATGTCAGACCCAAACTACAGTGACTTCCATGGTGGCCCTATTAATTTACATTGCTAGTCTACTGTATCACCATGAATGTACCCAATTTCATCTAATTTGCATTGCTGCCTACAGTGTATAAGGATCACTTTTTCTCCATAATCTTGCTATGCTAGTATATTTCTTTAAAGTGGTATTTCTATTTGATTCATTGTGCATTCACTTTACAGTTTAACTCTAAAATTAAAAACTTTAAAGAATCATAGGTTTATTTCAGCTAACATTTTCAGTCCACATTTAGCTGGCCATTAATCTATATTTATTTGTATTATGTTGATTAACTTATTTTATTTAATTTCCTCCTCTAGTTAATAACTGTCCAAATAACTAGTCATTTTCTGCTGTATATTATTCTATTGAGTTATGGAATTTTTAAAAAGAATTGTATGTTCTAGATTTTAATACACTTCTAAAAGAAATCTAAAAGGTATATTGAACATTTTGCCATAAATGTTTTATTATTAACATTACTTCTTTCAGTAAATTTTTGTATTTTTCTCCATGATAAAAGCTCCATAAAAATCAAAGTTTTCCATTGCTTACATTAAATTTATCTCTTGGTATTTAACAATTTTGTATTTATATATAGATCTTTTCCTACTATATTTTAATTGATTATAGTTGCACATAGGAAAATTTATTTTTCTATCTCATTCTGTGTTAGACTCTTAGCCTTAGATCTAAGGGATTGAAGGTGATATTTTTGGACTTCCTAGATACAGTCATATCATTTGCAAATAATATTTATTATGTTTTTGCCTTTCAAATCTTAATGACTCATAGAGTGGGCACAGTGATTTTCATTTCTTTCTGACTTTAGTGGGACTGAGTCTAATTTCTTACCATCAAATATGCCTATATCAGGTTTCTGGTGTATACTATTATTACTTTCAAATAGTTTCTTTATCTCTTTGACTTCCTAAACTTTTATTATTGACATTACTATGAATGAATGTGGAAGTGTATTGGAATTTTTTCTCCATATGTTGAGAAAATTAGGAAACTTTCTTCCCTTGGTTGGTTCATATATAAATTGTATTACTAGCTCCGCTTATGGCAAACCATACTTTTAATTTCTTGTTTGTTTATTTGATTGATTGATTTTGTGGTGTTAGGGATCAAACCAAGGGCTTTGCACCTGCTAAGCAGGTTCCACCAATGACCTATAATCTCAGCCTTGTTAAACTATAATTTTATTCTTTTTTATTTTAAAGAGATTGAGACAAAACAGGACATAACAAAGCAGATCAGAACAGAACAATTTAAGCAACACAGTATTTCACCAGAAGACAGCCCATAATTAACAGTAACTACCCATACTTTTATTCTTAAGATGATACACATTTGATCAAGGTGAATATGCTTAAATATCTATTAGATTTAATTTGCTAATATTGTTCAAAATTTTTGCATCTTTATTTTTAAATTACATTGGCATATAGTCTTCTGTTTTCCTCATGTCTTTGTTTGGTTTCATTGTCAAAATTCTGCTTGCTTATTAAATGATTTGATACTTTTTCATTTTTATGATTGCTAAAAATATTTAGAGGAAATTAAAATTATGTATTCCTTGAACTGTTAATAGAATTCACCTGATGTATTTTGAGGAACAGGTATATTTGTGAAAAACAATTCATTTTCATATCTTGTTATTGCATTATTCAGATTGTCAATTTATTTTTTAGTCCATTTTAATAATCAATATTTTTCCCAGACAGTTGCCAATACTCAACAATACTGATATTTTGGGCTGGATGGTTCTTGCTTGTGTGAGTCTGTTCCGTGCACAGTAGGATGTGTAACTGAATCCTCAGCTTCAACCAGACACATATCAGTAGCAATATCTTCCCATCATCATCTGAGACAAGCACAATGTCCCCTTCTATCACAAAATGAGTTCAAAATTTATCAACATAAAGTTGTGCAACATAAAGTTAACTTTCAAGTCTCATAGAAATCTGAATCATGCTTCCTTTGATGTACTTTATAAGTACCTTCTCTTTTCTTTTAAGATGAATATATCAAGAAACTTGTCTCTTTTATTAGTCTTTATCCAGGACAGATCTTAGTTCTAACTGACAAATTACACCTTTACTTTTGTATTCTTTGTGACCTAAAAACCAAATTTAAAAAAAAAATAATTTTATTACAAAAAAGAGTATGAAGAGTTTAAAATCATTCTTCCAGCAGTTAAATGCCTGCCCAGCATGCAGCCACACTAGACTGGGCTCTGTAGGTTTCTGGCCTGGCTTGGCCATGCCCAGCAACCTTCTTTCAATCTGGGGAACTGGGCTGCCAGAGGTGAGGTTCAGCACACCAGGGCAAGCCTGGAAAGAGTTTAAGACCATCACTCCCAGTGGTTAAGTGTGGGAAGCCCTGTAATTGGCTGCCACCTTAACATCTGCAGGCTGCTCCACCTTAACTCCCTCTAGGAGTTAAGTTTGGTAGTTAAGCAGTACCTTGCCTACCTAGCTTGTTTGGCCTATTCAGGAATTATGTTAATCAGTCCGCCTTATGAGCCCGTGCCCAGAAATTTGAATTGACCTATAACCCTCGGTCTTACAACTGTTGCTAAGTTACCTGCTGCCATCTCAGAACCCAAATCCCTCCTCCTCAATACCCTATATAATTGATACTCCTTCTTTGAATAAATGAGACTTAATTGGACTTCTTCATGTTGTCTCTGCTCTTTGTGTCTCTTGCCCCCTCTTCATGCCCACTCCCCCTCTAGGGTCTCTGTGAATTTACCTGCAGGCTGGGACAACTGGCAACCCATTGTGGGGCCCCGAGAATGGGGAACTTAGTGCGGGACGCTGTTCGTGGGCCCAAGGTAGGAAAAGGAAAAGAAAACAGAGAACCGATGTGGGATCCTGCCACACCGCTGAACCTCAGTAAGTAAACAACGATTATGGGACAAGAAATTAGCCAGCATGAGACTTTTGTTGAAAGATTAGAAAAGCTTTAAAGACACAAAGGGTAAAGGAAAAAAAATTAGCAATTGTGTCCACTAGGACAAGAAATGAAGCAGCGTAAGATTTCTGTTAAAAGTTTAAGAAAGGATTTAACGACGTGAATGGTAAAGGAAAAAAAATTAAGCAATTGTCCATTAGGACTTTTTTTAAAATTTTATTTAAGAGGAAAAAGAGAAAAACACAAAACAAAACAAAGCGGTGTAAGGGTACACGTAATACAGAACTACAAAAAAAAAAAAAAAAAAAAAAAAAAAAAAAAAAAAAAAAAAAAAAAAAAAAAACCATAACAGTAAGAAATCACTTGTTAATAGATTACATATTATCATTTTGGAAATAGTTGCTCAAATCACATAACTTGTTTTGAAGTCCTGTAATACTGCCACGATCTGGTTTTGACTGATTAGACTTGTTCCATTCTGTATGATAGTATCAAGTTTGAGGGTATAGGCAACTACTTTGAAGGCAATAAGATTCACTAAGATACCCATTCTGGTTTGACTATTGTCTCCTTTGGAAGTCCTGTAATGTTTACAATGCCTAAGTTTTATTGGTCTTGTTCTCTACTGTTTTGTCCAACTTTATAATATCTAATGAGATAGACAATTCTTTTTAAGGAAACAAGAGACAACATTGATAACCATTGTTGATAACCTTGTACTCTGTTCTACATCATGTGCTATGTCTATCCTTGGTTTTGACTGACAGCTTTGTTTTGCCATATTTGACTTTATTCTCTCCCCCGCAAAAAAGTAATAAGAACTAAGGAGTAATAAAATCCAAATTTTGTTGTAAAAAAGAGAGGGGAAAAAAAAGAGCTCTAACGGATATAACAGCAAGTGTGTTTAGGGGTGTTAAATAGCTGACTATATTAATGTTTTTGGATCATTGAACACAGCTGTTTGCAGTCTCTCTGTTTGAATGTCCATTAGGACTTAATAAACTTTAACTCAGAAGCAAAGCGACCTGATAACTGCTAGCACCCAACCCCCTCCAGGCTTAACACCACAGTCTCCTTTCGCATCAGGCGGCCAGGGCAGACAAAGCCCCTAGCATGGCCATAGCTGTGCGCCCTCCTCTATACTGTAGCAGTCATATAGTTCTGGCTTCAGCGTGTTTAACTTTTGATACTAGGAAGGAATTAAGAGACCAAGTTGAACTTTTAAGACAACAGATTAAACTGAAAAAAGAATGTCAGGATTTGATTGCTCAATTAGAAAGGCTAAAAATAGCAAAATTTAAAATAAAAAGTGAAACTAATCCCAGAGTTTCCTCCAGGATTTCTCCAGCTCAGCGACCCCCACTGAGAGGCATGATTTCTAAATTTACCTCCCTGGCCTGATCCAATAGTAAAGCTAGATGATATGGAGGCTTTCCCTGTGATGGAAACGAGGGACTCAGAGGGCAGAGTTTTCCTCTACTCTGGTTTTGATTTCAAAGTAGGGAGACACAGCCGTGTGTACTCTTGCTGTTTTAAATTCTTTGGCTGATGGCTGGCTCACACCTACAGATTGGCAAGGATTGACCCAAGCAACTTTATCGGGTGGGGATTATCTTTTATGGAAATCAAAATATATAGAAAATTGCAAAGAGACCACTAGGCGCAATACACAAGCTGGCAATGGGTGGAACCTTGATACATTAATAGGGGAGGATACCTATGCTGATAGAGAGGCCTAAAAGCAATTTAAGGGGGATATGAGTTCCTTTCTCACTAACATTAAGCAAGAGCTGGGGTTTTAGCTTAGTGGCCTAAACCGCTGCCAGCCAAGCACAAGGTTGTGAGTTCAGTCCCCAGGGCTGGAGATTTAGCTCAGTGGTACAAGTGCCTGCCTGACAAATGAAAGGCTGTGAGTTCAATCCCTGGTACCACTGACATTGAAACTGCTTATCAGCAAGGCCTTGCTATGGCTGCCACCTTGCAAACATTTACAGTTAAACAGTTCTTATCTCAAAAAAAAAATAATAAATAAATAAACAAAAGGTTTTTACCTGTGGAGAGACTGGTTATTTTGCAAAGAAATGATTCCAATGTTAGTAACTTTGACTCATTTAAAAGGCATACGTCAAAGCCAAAATCCAGAAAGAAGTTCAAAACTTCTGAATCAATGCATAATACAGCCATATATCATAGCTGGATTACCAATAAATCTTTGGGGTAGAGATCTACTGGCACAAATGGGATTAATCATGGGTAGCCAAAATACCATTGTCACTGCTCAAATGTTAAATAGTGGATATTCACCTGGTAAAACTGCATCCTTCCAAACAGTACAACAGCCCAGATCACAGAGTTGCGTGCTGTCACTGCAGCCCTTTGAGCATTTCCCAATCAGCCCTTAAATTTATATACTGACAGCACTTATATTGCACACTCTGTGCCTCTGCTAGAAACAGCTGGCCAAATCAAAAGTGCCTCCAGCACTGGATAACTGTTTAGGAAAATACAGGTACTTATTATAAAAAGAACTTGCCCCTTTTTTATTGGACATCTACATGCTCACTCTGGATTACCAGGACTTCTGGCCAATGGTAATCATGTAGCAGACCTGGCCACTTGATCACAAGCTCTCCTCTGTACTTTAGCTAATGTTAGCTCCAGTGATCATGATGACAATGTTACTTCAGCACAAAAGAGTCATCAATCACACCATCTTAATGCCCAAACCCTCCATCTTATGCACAAGATCACTAGAGAATAAGCCAGAAAGATAGTAAAAAAATTGCCCTTCTTGTGCCACACACCTCCTAGTTCCGCACTTTGGGGTTAATCCTAGAGGACTTATCCCCAATGCATTATGGCAAATGGATGTCACCCACTTCCTGAGTTTGGCAATCTTAAATATGTTCATGTAACTATAGATACCTTTAGTGGTTTCATTTATGCTTCTCCCCAGACTGGCGAAGCTCCCAAACATGTTATTAGCCATATGTTAACTACCTTATCAGTTTTGGGAGGCCCACAACAATTAAAGACTGATAATGGTCCAGGCTATGCTAGTTTTGCCTTTGCCCATTTCTGTCAACATCTTAATATTGATCATATAAAAGGCATACCTTATAACCCTCAAGGTCAAGGCATAGTTAAAAGAGCACATCTCTTCCTAAAACTCACTGTTGATAAAATAAAAAAGGGGGAATGGTACCCCACAAGGGGAACACCTAAAAATATTCTATTTCATGCCTTACTCATCCTTAATTTTTAAAATTTGGATACTTCTAGACAATCAGCAGCCACACATTTTTGGCATACTGAAACACAAAAGCAATTTGCTTCTGTACTATAGAGAGATCCCCTGACTGACTTATGGCATGGTCCAGACCCAGTCCTTATCTGGGGATGAGGATCAGTATGCATTTACTCTAAAGAGATGAAATGTGTGAGATGGCTGGCAGAACGATTGGTTAAAGAAATAGATTAAACACAACAAATAGAGGATAATGTTACAGATGACTCCAGGGATGAAAAATGACCCCTGAGAGAATTTTTTTGCAGCTTTTGTTTTTCAGATGATGGAACCAACAGCTTGGATCCTGTCTCTTGGGATAATAAGAATAAGTTGATGGCTTTTGTCAAACAACAGGGGGATGCCATAAAAATGTAACCTATACAGGTCCATTACCACAGCCATTACTATGGCTGATTGAGAAAATTATGTGGAGCCTGCAAAACTGTATTATGATAATGCTCTGTGAAAGCATGCTGTCCGCTCCATTTCTCTTGCCTTGGTGCAACAGACTGGATAGCCAGAGAAGGGCAACTGGGCCTCACACAGGATGCCAATCTCCACCTAAGACAGAAACTGGGCCTCTTGCTGCCCTACCTTCCAATGATGGGTAAGGCTAGGTTGCTCCCCCTGTGGAAGTGCCCTGACCCAAGACAGGCACAGCCTCCTCAAGCATGCAGCCTCTTAAATGCCTCTTATATTTTAAAGTAAAGGGGGACTTGTGAGAAGCCCTGTAATTGGCTGCCACCTTAACATATGCAAGCCGCTGCACCTTAACTCCCTCTGGGAGTTAAGTTTGGTAGTTAAGCAGCACCTTGCCTACCTAGCTTGTTTGGCCTACTCAGGAATTATGTTAATCTGTTCGCCTTATGAGCCTGTGCCTGGGGAATTTGAATTGACCTATAACCCTTGGTCTTGCCACTGTTGCTAAGTTACCTGCTGCCATCTCAGAACTCAAATCCCCCCTCCTTAATACTCTATATATTTGATACTCCTATCTTGAATAAACGAGACTTGATTGGACTTCTTCATCTTGTCTCTGCTCTTTGTGTCTCTTGTCCCCTCTTCATCCCCACTACCCTTCTAGGGTCTCCGTGGACTTACCTGCAGGCCGGGACAGTTAAGGGCCCACCCATCTTCCAACCACACTAGACTGGGCTCTGCAGATTTTGTGGACTTAGCTGGGCCATGCCCAGTGACCTTCTTTCAATCCAAGAAACTGAGGCTGTGCAAGGTGAGTTCCAACACACAAGCCTGGGGCAGGGGAGAGTTTAAGGTCATCACTCTCAATGGTTAAGTGCCTGCCCAGCTTACAACCACACTAGACTAGGCTTGGGAGGTTTTGAAGCCCAACTGGACCACTCCCAGCAACCTTCTTCAGTCAAGATACCTAAGGGCACATGAAGTGAGTTCCAGTGCATCAGTGCTTGCCTAGAGAGAGCCTTTGACCATCACTCACAGTACTTAGGAGCCCCTCCAGCTTTCTGGAACACCAGAAGTGGCATGGGAGGTCCTGTGGGCCTGACTGGACCATGCTCAGCAACCTCCATTCAGTCCCAGGAGATGAGAGCATAGGAAGCGATTTCCAACATGCCCACGAGAAGCTTTGGAACACCACTTGAAACACAGAAACATAGGAAAATAACAAGACAAAAGACCAAAATGCAATCTGAAAACTCCAGCCCATCACAAGAAAGCCTAGAAGTCATGTACATAGAAGAAAATATATACCATACACCTGAAATACCTGAAATAATAGCAACTGAAATAAAGAAGCAACTCTGGAAAGCTTTAAAGGAATTCAAATTAGAAATAATCTCCAAGGTAAAACAAGAAATGATAAAAGTAATGAAAGAGATGCTGAACACATCTAAAGAAGATACAGTTAAAAATTAGAGGCACAAAGCAAAAATAGAACCCCTGCATGAACAATATAAGAAACAAACAATACATGAAGCAGATTCAAAGAGATATTTGGGAAATCAAAAATTCCATTGAAAGTTTTAAAAATCACCTCAACCAAAGTGAAGATAAAATTTCAGACCTCGAAGACAAGATTGCAGCTAGTGAACAGTAAAGGAAAGATCTTTTAAAAATAACAAGGAATCAGGAAATAACAATTCAATAGCTGCAAGATGATGCAAAGGAAAACAACACAAAATTGATAGGGATAAATGAAAAAGAAGGGGACAACAAAAGTGATATCAAGAGGTTATTTACAGAAGTAATGACTGAAAATTTGCCAAACATGAGAATGGAAACTGATATGTGGATTAGTGAAACATATAGAATTCCAAATAGCCATAGCCAAAATAAAACTACACCCAGACATATAATAGTCACCATCCCAGAAATCCAATGTAAGAATAGAATATTAAAAGCTGTTAGAAAAGACAGAGCACCTATAAATGAAAACCTGTCAGAAAAAGAGCAGACATCTCAACACAAACAATGACTTTAAGAAGAGCATGGAGCAAAGTATTTCAGATCCTAAAGGAAAACAAAGTCCAGCCTAGACTGATGTACCTTGCAAAACTGTCCTTCAAAATGGATGAAAAATAAAATACTTCCATGGCAAAGAGTAGCTGAAGAACTTCATGATCACCAAGCCAACTTTGCAAAGAATACTGAAAGACAGTTTAGATACACTTAGGAAAAAAACCACTAAACAAAGCAGACAGTTAAATGGAACAGAAAGATAAAGATGCAACAGAGAAAGACAACATGTCAACAATAAACCAATATATAACAGTTATAACCATTAATGTAAATGGTTTCCATTCAGTAATTAGAAGAAACAGACTGGCAGAATGTATCAAGAAACAACATCCAACCATATGTTGTGTACAGGAAACCCATCTAACCCAAAGGGAAACTGATAAACTGAAAATTAAAGGATGGAAAACAGTACTTCATCCAACAGGAACCCAAATAGAGCAGGAGTAGCTATTCTGTTTGCAGACAATGTGAACTTCAAACCAAGAATGATCTGAAGAGATAAAGAAGGTCACTACATACTAGTTAGGGGAAAACTTCAAGAGGAAGAGATAACAATCTTCAATATATATGCACCAAATTTCAGAGCACCCAGCTATACAAAGCAAGTATTAACAGAAATGAAAAATCAAATAAGCAACAACACAATTATAACAGGAGACCTGACACCAAGGGACAGATCAACAGGACAGAAAATCAGCTAAGAAATAAAAGAACTGAATCACACTTGTGAACAAATGGACTTGATAGACATATACAGAGTTTTCTGTTCAACAACATCAGAATGTACATGCTTCTCAGCAGTGCATGGGACATTCTCTAAAATAGACCATATACTGTCCCACAGAACATATTTAAGTAAATGCAAAAGAGTTGAAATTATCCCATGCATGTTATCATATCATAGTGCCATGAAACTAGAAATTAATGATAAAAGAAACTTCAAAAACTCACAAACACATGGAAATTGAATAATAAACTCTTGAGCAATCAGTGGGTCACAGGGGAAATTAAAGGAGAAATTAAATAATACCTACAAGCAAACAAAAATACAAATACAACTTACCAGAATCTGTGGGATGCAATGAAAACAGTCTTCAGAAGAAAATTTATTGCACTGAGTTCCCACATCAGGAAAACAGAACAAACACAGATAAGCAACCTGATGCTACACCTCAAGCATCTGGAAAAAGAAGAGCAAGTGAAGCACAAAACCAAAAGAAAGGAGGAAATTATCAAATCAGAGTAGAAATTAACACAATAAAGACTAAGAAAACAATCCAAAGAATCAATGAATCAAAGAGTTGGTTCTTTAAAAAAATAAATAAAATTGATAAGCCAACTTTATTTAAAAAGGGAAGAAAAAGCTCAAATTCATGCAATAATGAATGAAAAAGGTGGAATCACTACAGACTCTGTGTGGAAGTACAGAAGATCATCAACATTGATTTCAAAAACTTCTTGTCTCATAGGTTCGATAACACAGAATTGGACAGATTGCAAGAAACATATGAAGCACCAAAGCTGGGTCAAGAAGATGTAAAACTGCTGAATAACCCAAATTCTATTCATGGACTTGAAAATGTAATTAAGTCCTTATCTACAAAGAAGAGCCCAGGCCCAGACGGATTCATTGCAGAATTCAATAAGAAATACAAAGAAGATTTAATGCCCACATTCCTCAAACTCTTCAACAATAACAAAAGTGAAGTGATTCTTCCTAAGTCATTCCTGGAAGCAAATATTACTCTACTATCAAAACTGGAGAAAGAATTAACTAAAAAAAAAAAGAACTACAAGCCTGTCTCCCTAATGAACACAGATGCAATAATTCTCAATAAAATATTAGCAAACAGGATGCAGCAAATCATCAAGAAGATTATATACAACGGCCAAGTGGGATTCATCCCAGGCATGCAGGGATAGTTCAACATATGTAAATCAATAAATAACCCACCATATCAATGGAACCGAAAGTAAGAATCACATGATCATTTCTGTAGATGCAGAAAAAGCTTTTGATAAGGTCCAACACTCATTCATGATGAGAACCTTAAAGAAAACTGGAATAGACAGTTTTACCTCAATATGATAAAGGCCATCTATGACAAGCCAACAACAAGCATCATATTAAATGGCCCAAAACTGAAGGCCTTTACCTTAAAATCAGGCACAAGAAAAGGATGTGCCTTATCACCACTCCTATTCAACATAGTACTGGAAATACTAGCCAGAGCAATTAGACAAGAGAGAGAAATAAAAGGGGCAAAGACTGGAAAAGAAGTTAAATTATCATTATTTGCAGATGACATGATACTCTACATAGAAGACCCCCAAAACTCCATTGAAAGACTCCTAGTTATAATAAATAAATTCAGCAATGTAGCTGGGTACAAAGTCAGTACTCAAAAATCAATAGCATTCCTATACACTAACAACAAAATCACAGAGAGAGAAATAAGAGAAGCCACATTCTTCACACTAACATCCAAAAAAAAAAAAAAAAAAAAAAAGAAATACTTAGGGAGTAATCTCACAAAAGAAGTGAAAGATCTTATAGGGAAAATTATAATACCCTGAAAAGGAAATCAAAGAGGATCTCAGAAAATGGAAAGACATCCCTTGTTCATGTATAGGAAGAATAAATATTTTGAAAATGGCCATTCTCCCCAAACTGTTATACAGATTCAATGCAATTCCAATGAAAATACTATCAACATACCTCATAGATCTAGAGAAATCATTGCTGAAATTCATCTGGAACCAGAAGAGATCTAGAATAGCAAAGGCAATTCTAAGCAGCAAAGGCAATTCTAAGCAGCAAAGGCAAGGCAGGAGACATCACAATCCCTGACTTGAAGTTATCCTACAAAGTTACTGTAATGAAATCAACATGGTACTGGAATAAAAACAGATCTGAAGATCAATGAAATAGATTAGAAAATACAACCACAACTACAAACACACTCTACCACCTTATCTTTGATAAAGGGGACAAATATGTTCACTGGAAGAATGACAGTCTCTTTAATAAATGGTGTTGGAAAAACTGGCTCTTCCTATGCCAAAAACTAAAACTAGACCCATGCCTATCACCATGTACTAAAATAAAATCTAAATGGATCAAAGATCTGAATAGTAAAACAGAACCATTTAATCCGTTGGAAGACAAAGCAAGAAAACATCTTGGAGACATAGGGGTAGGTAGAGAATTCATGAACAGGAATCAAACCACACGGGAAATACTTCCCAGAATCAATAACTGGGATCACATCTTACTAAAAAACCTTGGTATGTCAAAAGAAATCTCCAGCATAGTGAAAAGAAAACCCACAAAGTGGGAAAAAAATCTTAGTGAACTGTCGCTCAGACAAAGGACTTCTGTCTAAAACATATAAAGAATTTTTAAAAAATCAGACCCCCAAAATTCAAATGCCGAATCCAAAAATGGGCATCTGAGATGAATACACAGTTCTCAGATGAAGAAATACAAGTGGCAAATAAATATATGGAAAAAGGTTCATCATCATTACTTTATTAGAAAAATGCAAGTTAAAACAACACTGAGAATGCATCTCACTCCAGAAAGAATGGCCAGGATCAAGAAAACTACCAACAACAAATGCTGGAGAGGCTGTGGGGAAAAGGAACTCTCCGGCCCTGTTGGTATGAGTGTAGACTGGTGCAACCACTGTGGAAGTCAGTCTGGAGATTTCTCAGAAATCTGGCATTGTAAGTCCCATTTGACCCAGCTATTCCACTTCTAGGCATATTCCCAGAATAACTGAAAACATCAGACCACAGTGCTATATGTGCACCCATGTTTATAGCAGCACAATTTGTAATAGCTAGATCTTGGAAACATCCTGTCTGTCAACTGAGGAATGGATAAAAAAGAAGTGGTGTTTTTGTACAATGGAGTACTACTCAATTATAAAGAGTGATCACATTGAGATATTTATAAATAAATGGACACAACTTGAGACCATACATATAAGCAAAATAAATCAAACTCACATGTATAAATACTCTATAGTCTCCCTAGTGTAATGAATGGTAGGAGTACATAAGTTATTACGGTAATCATGATTCCCTATTACATTGCTTGAAGCCTTATAATGTTTTCCTTCATTAGTTGGAATGGCTTCATTCTGGTTTGTTTGATATTATTATCTATGATAGTACAAACAGCTATTTTAAAGAAAACAAGATATTATGATAGCCATTGCTGATTTAATATCATCTTGCTTTGGAGTCCTACTATGCTTTTGTTTTTCTGTTTCTATTGGTTCTATCATGTTGTATCTTATTGGATTTTAATATGTGTGATGGTATAAACAATTTTTTATGGAAAATGAGATAATATAGTAGCCATTGTTCATTTTTGTTATTCTGTTCTGAATGCCCTGTAATTCTTTCATTCTCTTGAATGGTTTTATATTATTTTGTTACATTTGATATGAGCCATTCAACAGACCAAATCACTGGATGAAGTTAGAGCACTCGTGTTCTGATCACTGTCTCCAAATTCCTACCTCAGAATGGAAGAGCCCTTTGTGAGACAGCTCAGATTAAACTACAACACAGTCTTTGCATCATATGAAGTTAATCCACTTAAACTTTTCTTTATTTTAAAGAGATTAAAAGAAAACAAAGCAATACAAATGATATAGGATATCAAAACAAGATGATAGGAAATTAACAATGGTCACTATATTGTATACAGTTATCTTCAAAATAGTTGCTCAGATTACAAGATACTGGTATGCAAAACAGATCAAATAACACAAGTCCTTAGTTTCTTTCCATAAACTAAGATATTTAGTAGTATAGTCATCTTAGCTATCTGATAGATATATATCAGATATACCTATAAATAGTTTTTTCCCTTCCTTCTTTTCTATTTTTCCCCATCCCGGTTGTTCTTTCCCGTTTTAGCAATTTTTTTTCCCTTTCACAACATCTGTAGTATCTTTTGGGTCTTATTTACTCTCTCAGTGTCTTACACGAGGGAAACAATATGATGTTTAAACATGGTCTGATTTATTTCACTTATGAATATGGTTTCTAGTTGCACCCATTTACATATATAAGCCTTGAATGTGTCTTTCTTCATAGCTGAGTAGTACACCACTGTATAAAAATGCCACATCTTTTTATCTGTTCTTCAATTGGTGAGCATTTGGGTTGTTTCCAAAATTTAGCTATTATACATTGTGTCGCTACTAACATGGGTGCACATGTATTGCTGTGGTATGATGTTTTTAATTCTTCTGGGAAAATATCCAGAAGGGGAAGAGTTGGGTCGAATGGGACAACTAATCCTAATTTTTCGAGGAGTCTATCCACTGATTTCCAGAGTGGTTGCACCAGTCTTCACTCTCATCAACAATGGAGAAATATGCTTTTTTCCCCACAGCCTCTCTAGCGTTTGTTATTGGTTGATTTTTTCGATGATAATCATTCTTTCTGGGGTGAGTTGGAATCTCAGTGTTGTTTTAATTTGCATTTCTCTAATGACTAATGACGTTGAACATTTTTTCATATATTTGCTTGACACTTGTATTTCTTCATCTGAGAAGTGTGTCTTCGTCTCAGAAGCCCATTTTTGGATTGGCTCTTTGAATTTGAAAGGCCTGATTTATTTTTTCAGTTCTTTATATGTTCTAGATAGAAGTCCTTTGAGGGACAGTTGGCTAAGATTTTTTTCCCATTTTATGGGTTTTCTTTTCACTTTGTTATTTATTTCTTTTGACATGCAAAAATTTTTCAATAAGATGAGATCCCAGTTGTTGATTCTTTGAAGTACTTCCCATGCAGTTTGGTTTCTATTCATAAATTCTCGGCCTACCCTTATGTCTTCAAGATTGCTACCTGCTTTCTCTTTCATTAGATTTGTTTCTGTTTTAGCATTTAGATTTTGATCCATTTGGACTTTAGTTTAGCACATGGTGATAGACACAGGTCTAGTTTTACTTTTTAACATGTAGAGAGCCAATTTTTCCAGCACCATTTATTGAACAGGCCATATTTCTTCCAGTGAACATGTTTGGCCCCTTTGTCAAAGACAAGGTGGCTGAATGTGTTTGAAGAGAGCATCTTCTGTTCTGTTCCATTGATCCACAAGTCTGCTTTTTTTTTTTTTTTTTGGTCAGTACCACATCAATTTTACCACACTAGATTTGTCGTATAATTTGAAGTCAAGTCAGGGATTATGATTTC